AAGCAAGTCACTACCTCTCTGAACTTGTTAACTCATTTGTGAAATGCAGATAATGATGCCATACTTGCTTCACAGTTTGTGGCAAGGAAAGCTCTTTGGAATCCTTATTGTATATCATCTAACGTCTTTGAAGAGAGTAGCTGACTGAGAATTAGGAAACTCGGGTCCTAGTCTAAGATTTAATTTGGCAAACATTTATCACATGCCTAATATATGCGAGACACTATGCTAGTATCTGTGGTTACAAGGAAAAAAGTAAAAATTTTTTCCTGACCTCGAGGGGTTTGCATTCTATTGGGAAGCTGGGATACAATATGCAGAGAGAAAGGTCGATGTGAAAGAGAGCACTAAACACTACCAATGTAGGTTGGCACCTTCTTTGCAACTTACAGTGGTATTAACCACCAAGGGAAATTAAAAAAAGGCTTTCCAGAGGAGATGATGCCTGAACTGAGTTTTGAAGGAGGCTGAAGCATCTAAGAAGCAGGAGTGATGGAGCAGTGCTTTTCAGGGATAGAAACTAGTCTATGGCAAAGGGAAGGCATACGACAGCAAGCAGACCAGATCGTCTGGAGTGCAGAGTACAGGAAAGAAAATGATGGGAGATAAATCTGGAAAAGCAGCCTGAGCCATAATGTGTCTAATGGCAGCCATCTCTAGGATAAGAATGGGGGAGGGGGGAGAGGGAGGAGAAGGGAAGAAAAAAAAGGAAAAAAAGAAATTTACGTGATAATTTCATTGTATATTTGAAAGGAATAGCAAGTTGTGCATAGTAGATTTGCAGTTTCATGTGCAATTATCTTTTTTTAATTGTAGTATGTTATAGAAATGTTTGTTTTATTTCATAAATTAAAAATAAAATAAATTTAAAAAAATTCAGAAGTGAAGGGCTTTAAATGCCAGGCTGAAGAGTTTTTATTTTATCTCAGAGTGACTATGGAGCCCCTCCAGGGGCTTGATATCTCCTACCATGGAAGCCCTCCGGGAATTTTTATATCTGCCATTAGAAAGCTGTGTGACCTTGGCAAATGCATTAAACTACTTTGGCCCTCAACTTACATACAAAATGAGGTGATGGGTTAGGTGATGTGTGAGGTCACTTGCAGGTCTAAAATTTTGTGATTCTGTGAGTTTATACAGCATAGACAAAGCTGAGCACCCTAGTTACAGACCCTTAAATTTGAAAGGATCTTAGACTAGATTTCATTTGACCTGACCTCTCAACCAATGTAATCCTCTCCTCTGAAAACTCCTGGCAGGTAATCATCTGGTTAGCAAACACTTACAACGATAGGGACCATACTCCGTCATGAAGTAGCCCAGTACGTTGTGGAACAATTCTAATTATTAGGAAGTCGCTTCATATATTGAGCTTAAATCTGTCTCCTTTATAACTTCCACCGACAGTTTCTAATTATACCATTTAGTTTACGAGGAATATAAGCTACATTCTTTTTCAAATAGATAGATAAATAAGTAGTTGATAGATAGATGGATAGATGGGTGGATGATAGGTAGATACATACATACATTGAGATACGTAGATTGATAGTTATATATTTTACACATACATAGATATGGATAGAGATAGATCAATATGATAGATAGTAGCTATATGGTAGATACATATGTAGAGATACTTAGATCAATGGTTACATATATCATACATACATAGATATATAGATTTATGTGTGTGTGTGTGTGTGTGTGTATATATATATATTATATATATATATATATATATATATATAAAATAGATACACATAGAGTGAGAGAACATTAACTAATTGTTTGTCAGGTCAAGTTCCAAGCTCTTGGGATACAGATAAAAGCAAGCCAGACCTAGACAGTCCCTGCCATCAAGGAACACACATCTATAGGGGTACTGAAAGGGGATACTGCAGAAACCTGTTAAATAGGTGCCTGGGAAATGGCATGGAGGTAGGTCCAGTTCCCTAGAACATAAACCCAAAGGCCTCTTTTCACAGCTAGGGGACCCAGGGAGCAAAGTCAGAGGCTTTGGCGAGAGAGAAACAAAGATGATGCCCAGAGAGTAAGTGACATAGTGTGAAGAGGGCAGGAAGTAATTTGTCAGGCCTGATTTTTAGAAAGATAAATTCACCTAACAGAACTAGAGATACAGAGGTTGGGTCTAAGGTGTTTCATCTGACAGCTCTTCAGTTATATGAAATCAGCCAGCCAGGTCTTTGTTTCTTTACCTGTTCCTTGTATGATACCATTTCTAGAACTTTCTCCATCCTAATAACTCCTCCTCTGAAGGTGTTCCAGTTTGTCATTCACCACCTTAAAATATGATGTCCTGGACTATACTCTAGCTGTGGTACAGCTAGGAGAGAACATGGTAAGACTGTCACCTCCCTTGATCTGGATACAAGGTTTCTGTTAATGTAGCCAAATTCACATAACTTATTTTTGACAACTTCGCCACATTGTTGCATTGCTCATATTGAACAAAACTTCTCACTCTTTTTCGCATGTTTAGCTAGGTCTCCCCACTCTATACTTGTCCTTTTTAAAAAAAAATTAACAAGTATTTCTTTTCTCTCACACACTCTGCCCTCAATTTAAAACAAAACCTTCATAACAAATTTGTACAGTCAAACAAAACAAATTCCCACATTGGCCACGTCCAAAAACCTATGTCAGGGGGAGCTAGGTGGTGCTGTGGATAGAGTACTGGCCCTGAAGTCAAGAGGACCTGAGTTCAAATCCGGCCTCAGACCAAATACTTGACACTTACTAGCTTATGTGACCCTGGGCAAGTCACTTAATCCCAATTGCCTAAAAAAAAAACCAACCAAAAAACCCCCCTATGTCTCATTTTGTATCTTGAACCCATCACCTATTTGTCAAGAGTAGCATTCTTTATCATTAGTTCTCTGGAATCTTGGTTGGTCATTGCAGTGATCAGAGTCTTTAAAAGTTGTCTTCACAATGTTATTGTCATTGAATAAATTATTCTCCGCTCACTTCATTCAATATCACTTTATACAAATCATCCCAAGTTTCTCAGAAACTATCCCTTTCATATTTTTTTATAGCACAACAATATTTCATTACATGGGCAGTTAGGTGGCACAGTGCTCTGGGCTTGGAATCAGGAAGACTCATCTTCATGAGTTCAAATCTGGCCTGACATACTTAGTTGTGTGGTACTGGGCAAGTCACTTAACTGGGTTTTCCTCAGTTCCTCATTTGTAAAAGGAGCTTCAGAAGGAAATGACAACGGCATCTTCACCAAGAAAACCCCAAATGGGGTCACAAAGACTCAGACACAACTGAAATGACTGAACAACAACAAAATTTCTTTACATCCACATGTAATAATTTATTCTTCCATGCTCCAGCTGAGGGGCACCCCCTTAGTTTCCAGTTATTTTCTGATATAAAAAGAGTTACAACTCTTTTTATGCAAATGGATCCTTTTTCTCTTTCTTTTACCTCTTTGGGGTATAGGCCTAGTCGTGGCACCATTGGGACAAATGGTCCTTAAAATGTAGATTCAAGACTTTATAAGACTTTCCTATCCAATCATTATCTTATTACTTTTGGCCTATCCACCCACTCTTTTGGGATTCTTTTAAATCTATCAATATATTATTAGCAGTTCCTCCCAAGTTCATGTCATCTACAGATTTAATAAATATGCCTTCTATTTCATTATCAAAGTTATTGATGAAAGATTTAACAAAACAGGGTAAAATGTGGGGCCTGTGACACACCAGTGAGGATTCCTTCAAGACTGATACCATAATAGTTTGTGTTTGGTTTTTGGAAGTCAGTAGGGGTTAAATGACTTACCAGGGTCACACAGCTGGTAAGTGACTGAGGCCAGATTTGAACTCAGTCCTCCTGACTCCAGTGCTCTATCCATATCTCGCTGCCCCCTTAATAGTTTTTTAGTGTCATTGCTGAGGTGTGATCATCTTTGGAGGGAATACCAATAATGATGAGATTTAATCTATTTAATCCATTTGAATATTTGAGTAAACATAATTTAAAATGTTTCTATCCAATGGTGCAAGACAAGTGAAGATTAGGAGGGAAAACAGGAAGATGAAGTATTGCAGTAGGGACAGTGGCCACTAATAGTACATTAATAAACTCCTATTTATAATAACATCATTAACAATAAGATGATGGTGATGGTGATGATGATGACGATGATGATGATGATGATGACAAGAGGCAGTATGGCATAATGAATAGAGAGCTGGTCTCAATGTCTGGAAGACCTAGGTCCAAATCCTGCCTCTGACACTGTCTGTATGGCTCTGGGCATATAGCTTAAACTCTCAGTGTTCTAGGCATCTCTGTAGGGTTGTCACTACAAGTTACAAAGGAGGCACCAGCCTGCATTAGAAGAAATTTAGTTTCCTCGCCTGGGAATTCCTTGCACCAAAGAAATCACAGGACCAATCCCTTTCCCTATTAATAATGATAGATGATATTTCTATAGGGCTTTATAGTTTATACATTGTTCTAAATTATGTTGACTCATTTAATCTTCATGGCAATTCTAATATGGAGGGAAAGGAAAGAATTTAATAAGCATCTGCTATATACTAAACACTGTTCTAAGTACTTTACAAATATTATCTCATTTGATACTCACAAAAACCCTGGGAGGCTATTATTATCCCCATTTTACACTTGAAGAAACTAACAGATTGAGGGTAAGTGATTTGCCCAGGGTCACACAGTTAATAAGTGTCTGAAACCAGATGTGAACTCATGTCTCCTTGCCTCCTAGCCCAGCTCTCTATCCACTGCACCACCCAGCTACCCCATCCCAATATCTTTCTTAGCTGAAGTAAGACAAATTGGCCTATCAGTGACTTATTCTCATTTGAAAACCCCTCTACTCATCAGTTATCATTGCCTTTTCAACTGTATTTGAGTTCTGGCTAGATGTGTACCACTGTACTTTCGTTCTTATAAAGTTAAAATACCTATTTGCATTTTTTTTCTACTTTCAGAATATTTTTCTCAGCACCTTGGAGAATATGAGAATGTCCTGGCAGCCCTAGAAGACCTAAATCTTTCCATCTTAAAGGCGATGGGCAAAACAAAGAAAGTAAGGGAAAAATTTTTTCATCTTCTATTAAATATTTGCTTCCCAAAGTTAATTTTAGTAGTACCTGTCTTAGTATTATCAAAGTTACTGTGATTCTTTTTTTAATTGCAAACATTTGATTAAGGGGGAATCCCTATTTTAAAAAAAATGAATCTATTATCTAAGCATTCATTACTACTATAACACTAAGTTTAGGTCTACACCTGGGATTCTTAGCCTTTTTTGTGTAATGGTCCTCTTTGACAGTCTAGTAAAACCTATGAACTTCTCAGAATTATGTTTTTAATGCATAAAATAAAACAAGATTACAAAGGAAACCTATTATATTGAAATGTGATTATTAAAGTATTAAAAACCAAGTTCAATGAGCAAGATTAAGAATCCCAGGTTCGCAGCATGACAAACACATTGTTGGGAAATAAACTGGTGCCTTCAGGAGAACCCTGTACTATATTACCCCCTGTACTAATCCTATCCTTATTTTCAACTGTGTTTCTAGCCCAAAACATGCATATTGGTGATTTTATCACTGTTGGATATAACTTGTTGATATACTTTTACTTGCTTGCCATATATTTGCTGATTGTGATACTGAATTCCCTTTATAGGATGTCTAACTATTATTCTGTCACACCCTTTAGTTTCAGGATTCAAACTGTGCCTTAGAAAAAGCTTTCCATGTGATTGCTAGAACATGCATAATAATCTAGGATTGCCTGTTAGGCAACATACATTGCCAAAGCATTCTACTGGGAAGCCCTCAATTTTTTGAATGCTATTCTCAATACTATCAAAGAGAGCTTGGGTCTATCAGAAATTCAGAAGCATTTGGAAAATGCCAACTGCTTCCTTGTCAAGATATAATTTGATATCAGTCATTGAATACATAGGAGAAAAAAAGAGACTTTCTTAAAAGCTCTTGAGTTAGTGCTCAACAACTGGCCATCTTTTGGGAATCTCTTTCCAAGTTAACATTGCCATCTTAAAGCTGTCATACCTAGGCTTCAAAAGAAACAGAAAACCCATTTCGTACTGATGTCACATGAATGGTATTAAATGTATCATATCTGTAACATATTTCAGTATATTCACAATATTATTTATGGGATGGCAGACTATAGAGCCTACTATAGACTTGACCCTGAAGTAATCTGCAACTGAAGAATGAATGTAAATAATACACTATTCAGTACTTTTCCATTATTTCTTGTGACATTGCCACTCAAGTCAAAGCAGATAGTTATTTCAGTAATAGCGACTATGTAAAAGACATTTAAATGAAGCTGTTGAAAAATGCAAAGTATTAACTCCTCTGAGTTTACTCTTGTTAAACAGTCTCAGAATGAATTGTTTGACCAGTCAACTGTACAGAATAGGACCAGTAGGAAAAGTTGTCATGTAGCAACTACTAGAGATAAATAGAATGATGTGTTTAAGAGCTACCTTGCAAATTAATTCTATCTTGCTTCAGAAGAGTCCTACAAATATTATAAAATGAACATTGTCTCCCAGAGGAAAACCAAGAAAGAAAATGGGGCAATTGGGTATATGTTAATGAGTATTTAATTTGACATAAAAATTGATCTTGTCCTAATGTGGCTATTAAATAGTGCATGAAATACAAAATCATAAATTATATCCTGCCTTGCCATTTTTTAATTTTTATGCAATTGGGGTTAAGTGACTTGCCCAGGGTCACACAGCTAGTAAATGTCAGTGTTTGGTCTGAGGCTGGATTTGAACTTAGGTCCTCCTGACTTCAGGGCCAGTGCTCTATCCACTGCAGCACCTAGCTGCTCCTTGTGTTGCCAGTTTTTAAAAAAGATCTGGGCTTGAATTTATGCCACCATTTTTAGTAGTCTCCAAACATCCCGAGACGCCATTTTGCTTCTCCCCTTACTTTGTCCCCTTTCTGTCTTTTCATTTCTCTCTTACTTCAGTCCACTCTGGTCCACTTGTGGAGTAGGATATGGGAGTAGTAGCTGGTGACTAGGAGGTAGGAAGTTGGTTAAAGCATTTTATTCCATTTCTACTCAGCCGCCATCCTCACTTTAGTGTAATATTTCCAGAAGGAAGAGTATATTGGTCTCCATGAAAAGGGAAAGACAATAAATAGTATCTGCATAAATTGTGAGCCAAATAGCATAATAGTTCCTGATACCTCCATATTTAAGTCAACATTTATAGTGAAAATCCTCTCCAATTTTTCCCTTTCCTTCACCATCTAGTCTTATTTAAGATACTTCTATACAGAAAGTTTGCAAGAAAATTGCATTTTCTGATTTGATAATGCAAAACCTATTATTTGATGACAGTGGTGGTAGCAGTAGAAGTGGGAATAACAACAGCTCTCGTTCTAAAATATTTGCAGGATTCTACGGAGACTTTGCCAGGTTCTTCCCTAGGATAAATTCCTCCTACAATAAATTCCTATGAATTTGAGGAGAAGGATTGCCTTTTGGCATCTACCACATCATCAATAAAAGAATGGGAAATCCTTTTTCTGTGAGAGGCAGCTAGAGAGCTGGACTAGGATTTAGCAAGGTATAGATTTGAATCCTGACTCTGATATTTACTAGCTGTGTGACCGCGGGCAAGTCATCCATGTCATCAAAGCCTCATTGTATTCATCTTTAAAGTGGGGATAAAAAGTTACTTCTACTACCTACCCCACAGCATTGTTGTGAGACTCAAATATGATAATGAGTTCAAAGCATTTTTAAAATGTCAGTTATTCTTGGCAAGAGCTACCCCATTCACTAAAGAAATCAATTATAGAATACAAATTAGTGCAAGGAAATTTCATTTTTTTAAAGAGAAAATGTCATATGTTTGACTTAACTTTAAAATTGGTAACAGGAATCATGTAACTTGATTCAAGAAATAACTGATGTGTTAACCTCATGTTATGGAAGGCAAAAGAAGAAAAGGTTGAGAGAAGAGGGGGAGAAAAAAGGTGGAGAGATGCAGAGAGGAAAGCTGGAGGAGGGAAGGGAAGAAAGCAGGAAGAGAGAAGAACAGCAGAGGAAATTGGAAAGAAAGAAAAAGGAAGAGAAGGGAAGGGAAGGGAAAAGGGAAGGGAAAGGAAGGGAAGGGGAGTACCTATGTAGAAAGTACTTTAAAGAAAAGATGAAAAAAAGACAAAGGAACTAAGAAGAAGTAAAAGTAGGCCAAGAGATAGAAACTGAAACTTAGTAAATTCTGAAGTGTAAACTTTAAGTAAACTATTCATCCTATCCTGTAACTCATTTGACCTATGCTAGGCCTGTGCTACCATGAATGAAGGGAGGAGGAAGAATATTGAGTTCAGGGAATGGAAGTAGTCAGTCCACTTTGACTGGAACATGGAGTCTGTGAAGGAGAGAAATACAAACCAGAAAGGGAAGAAAGAACAGACTGGGATGGGCTCCTTCCGTTACACCCACACTGCCCTCCTTTATATGGGAAAGTAAAAAGATGTAATCTGCTTACAAAAAAAAGTACCCCAAATCAAGTAATATTCTTTATGAGATACTATCATGGAACACTGCAAAATTCAAATTTAGATAATCCTGTCAATTGTTTTATTTTCTTATGAAGTCTTTTTTCTTTTTAATTTGCAATAATCATGATCAGTACAGAGTCAAGCAATCAATCATTCAATCAATAAGCATTTAGGAAGCACTTATTAAGTTCCAGGCATTGTGTCAGGTGCTAGGAATTCAAACTGAAAAATGGAATAGTCCCTGCCCTCACAGAGATTACATTCTATCATGGGAATACAGCTTTACATGTATACATGTATGGATACACACATATATACATGCATGTATATGTGTATGTATATACACCAATATAAGCGTAAACTATACACATATATAAGCAAAGAAAAGCTTATCGCTTTGCATGCTTATAGCGTAAGTATAGTGTGCATACTGCGTATGCATAAGCATCTACAAAATAAATTTAAGATCATTTAGAGGAAGGGCACTAGCAGCTGAGATCAGAAAAGGCTCTGTTTAGATTATTGAAAAAGACAATGGTCCACATGTCCTTACTGATCCTTAATGTCATAATGTCACTGTCCTTAATGATCATAAAATAGAAATGGAAGGGCCCTTAGAGGCCATTTAGTCCCACCGTTCTTTACAAGGAATAAAACTGAGGCTTGGAGACGAGAAACAACTTCTCTGAGGCCATCCCAATAGGAAGTAGCAGGAATAGTCATTGAACCCGGCTTCTGACCCCAAATCTTCTGATTTTCCCACTGTACCACAATACCTTGAATGGTATGTTCCTGCTCAAATAAAAGACAAAAATAAAAGAAGGGCCCTATTTTGCTACAACTAAAATAAAGATACTGTAAAAATCTCTCAAAACATTATAGATTTGATGTCCTTTTCATGCCGGTACAATGATGTCTCTTTTCTAAGAAAGGAGTTCAATATTTCTTTTTGAGAATATATCTGTGTGTGTACATGTAAGTATATGAATATTTGTATACACATCTATGTATATACATAAAAATAACTGTGATAGACCTTTTCTTGCTAGGAAGAACTGACAATGTTCGTACTTTGAAAAAATGAAATGAAAAGCAACCTATATTCTCTGTCAGATGGCTGTTCACCTGTTCACTTTGTCAGAAATAAGTGAAAATGGGTTTTATCTATTTGCCTTAAACTCTAAAAGATCACCAAGGTCAGATATATTCGCTTATAATTATGTCCTTCTCCTTTTTCCTCCTCCTGTGTTCTGGCCTTTTGCTGTATCTTCAAAAGCTAAATGCATTGTTCATCTTTAGCTTCTGAGGAGGAAAAAAAAAAGAAAGAAATTATCACAGATCCAATTTAACATGGACAGTTGGGAGTCCTGAAAGCATTCTGAATCTGATGTGGATGACTAGGAATTATAACCCCAACCCAATCACTGCATTACAAGATATTAAGCACATTAATTATGTTTCCATGTTTCCACAGTGAGGATAATCATGCTCATGGGCCTCACAAATGGATGTGTGG